TGCAGTACCTCACAAAGTCTTGAATTGCACAAAATAACATTGCAAGATGACAGTAAATTAACCACACATGCCTGTGTGTGCTGCAGGGTGTGTGTGTGAACATGCCGCATGTCCTGTTCTCTGGCACAGGGGCTGAAAACCAATACATTGGTGATTTCAGGCCTGCAAAAACAGAGACAAAGAAAAGGAGAAAGAAATAAGCTACAAATCCTTTGCATTGACTGCTCTGAGATCTGCTACCAGAGCCTCAGTTGCCCTGCGTATTATGTTTGCTCTCTCTATCCCAATTATGGGGTAAAGCAGAAAGAATACATCCATGAATTTGACTACTGAAAAAGGAAAAAGAGTTTTGAGAACTTGTCTGCAGTCACTGACGATCATGCACAGTGACATCTTCTTTGGTGTTTTAAGTAGTGTTTGGGTAGGGAATTCCATTTTTCAGGGAGAGCATCCAGCTGAGAGTATGGAACAAAGAATGCATCCAGTCAGACATGGCAAATATTCTGCTTGTAATTATCACACACACACAAGCCTTCAAAAACACTGCAAACTGCACTACAACAGCTGAACACATGCAAGAGAGGCACAGATCATCCAACGACTGCTAGTTTTCTCTTGTGGAAACAAGGGCAAGGGAAGAGGAAGAGCAGAAAGAACAGAACCAGGAACTACAGTGCACAGTACTTTCTGGGCACAGAAACAACGATCTGTTGCTACATGAATGTGTCAGCCCTCTCTGCTGGGCACGGGCAGCAGCGCAGCCATCAGTGGGGATCGGGGCAGATCAGGGACCACCGTCCGCGCTGGGGAGCACAGCGCCCGCAGCCCTTTGGGAATAAACACTGCTCCGAGATGCCTCCAGAAAGCGGTGTGCTCCCACAGGGAGATTTTAATGGCCTTGGCAGGAAGAGCTCAGTTCTATCCATAGACTAATTTATTGAAAAGGTAATGGGTGAAATCCTTCTAAAAAAAAAGAACAAAGAACAAAGACAAGGCTGTATCAGTAAGACTAATTGTTAAAACTGCCTTTTGCTTCAAGATGGAACACTGTAGGATTTTGCACTGACTTTACTTTAAATGACTAACAACAATAGTCAGAGCTAATGATTCTAAAGTAGTTTCATCTACTGATGTTTGCAACGACAATAAATTGGTTGTGTTTCCCATGGGAAAAACAAAATGATAAAATACAATTTATCTCCTTGAGACATTCATCCTGCAAGGCACCAATAGAGCTGACAGTGCACAAACAATTTTTATGTGGTTGCAACAATAATTTATTCACTTCTCTTATGTGAGTGGGTAGATTTGGTACAGATGTAGATTGAGAAAACCTGGCTCAAGGATGACTAAATTCCAAAAGAAGTAAACATTAAAATATCAAGTAACACTTTAAGCCTTTCATGAATTTATCTTGGACCTCAGAAGGAGTTAGCAACACAGATATGGCAAGCATGAGTGAGTTTGCTTGTCTTCTCATTCTTAGAGTCCCCCAGTAGAAGTAGGTAAGGCATATGTGATTCATTTTGGCTAAAGAAGGTCCCACCCATCTATGGAATGGACTCTCAGCAGCCACAGCAGAGCAGGAGGAGCAGGCCTGACTGAGAGGGTATCAACCCTGGGCAGCTGGCTCTCTGCCCAAAGAATTGGATGAGTATCTTGCTGTCTCCTAAAGTACCTGGTCTGATTTGACTCTTCTGTTTTGCCAAGCCAAGTAAGCAACTAATCTCTCAGTCTGGAGGAAAGCATCTGTTTTAGCAGTCCGCAAACATACCTGTACAGTGACTCCTGCCTTCCAGCTTTCTCTCCATTCTTGTCAGTCATGTGGAACTTGCATATATAATAGTTTCTTGCAGTCTGAAAAATCAGTCTCTTTGGTTTGCTATGTGTGTTTAGCAAATGCCCTGTTTGTTTGTTGTTGTTTTTTTTTTGTTTTAAATATGTTTTTAATATGTGATCTATTCCATAATGGGTCTTAAGACTGGCACTGTGATTGTATTGAAATGGAGATTTCACTAGTTTCTTCAAAGGCACCTCCTGGTATGCACCGTGGAAACAAGCAGGATGCCTCCAGGTATGCACAATGAGTCTCTAGAGTTTTCTCTGTCATGAATTGTACAAATACAGACTGGTGACAAAAAGATTAGCATTAAAAGGTCTAGACTGGTCAAAATCTGAAAATCTATGCTTAATATCAGGCCTAGAGACAGAACAGAGTAGTGGCAAAAGCACTAGTCACTACATTTTTTGTGGAGACAACAAAATATAGACTTGCTATTTTAAACAGTAAACAAAATGTCAGAATAAAAGCAGCTGGAGCAATCCTGATCACCTTCCCGACCAGCACACATTTTGCTCTTAATGAGTCTGCATGGTCTTTAATTACACTTGCAGGTACTACTTTCAACTCTGCTTCTCAGAGTAAGGAATGTGATTGAAGACAGAGAAGAACATATTAGCACTCTAGCATGTAAAACCTGTAGTGTCAGCAGAAATCAGATAATCTGTGCAGCAAGGTATTAAAAATACTCCATATAAATGAGTAAGATTGCAAATTATTCATTACTATTCAAGCCAAAGACGCACCTATAAAATATCTGCCTTAGTTCTACAGCTGAGGACATTTTATTCTCATCTCCTTCAATGCACAGTATGAGAAGAAGCAGCTTTTCACTCTATGATTGTTTACAACAGGGAAACGGTCTTTGAAGTCTAAACTAAGGGCAAGAACAGGTCATCTCAGTACTCAGGAAAAGAAAGGAGATCACCGTGGCAAAGTATGGAATCATGGCTGAACTCCAATAGAAAAACAAAACAAAACACAGGAGGTGGAAACAGGAATGGGGACTACAAAAGGGAAATGTAGAAACATTGCCTGGGTATGTAGGGATGGTGAAAACCAAAGCTCAGCTAAAGCACAGATTTGCATATCAGGAGTAATAAGAAAAGCTACTGCTAGCAAATTAGAGGTAAAAGGCTGAACATGGAAAATGCAGGGCTGTTACTGAACAGATGGATGATTTAGTGAAAGCAAGCACAGACAAACTTGAGGAATTCAGTGTCTCCTTCCCACTAATCTTCACAAGCAAGGTCTTTCAGGCCTCAAGACCTGGGATACACGGAAGTGAGAAAGACCATTGGTGAATGAGCAAGAGATTGATAGAGAAAAGCTAACTCTCATAATCACAGAATCACAAGGTTGGAAAGGACCTACAAGATCATCTAGACCAACCGTCCTTCCACCACCATTGCTACCACAAGCCTCTAAACCATACCTTGTATCCCCTCATCCAGATGCCTCTTGAACACTGACAGGGATGACGACTCCACCACCTCCCTGGGCAGGCATTCCAGTGCCTGACCACCCTGAGAGAAAAAGCTTTCCTTATGTCTAATCTAAACCTCCTCTGGTACAATTTGTGGCCATTTCCTTGGTCCTGTTTGTTCCTTGGGAGAAGAGGCCAAATCCCTCTTCATCACAACCTCCCTTCAGAAAGTTGTGGAGTGCACTGAGGTCTCCTCTGAGCCTCCTCCAGACTGAACAATCCCAGCTCCCTCAGCCACTCCTCATAGGACTTGTGCTCCAGAGTGCTCACCAGTTTCATTGCTCTTCTCTGGACATATTCTGGCACACTGTGCTGTATGAACAAGAACACAGCCAACAGGTTGAAGGAAGGGGCTATTCTGTTTTACTCAGTACTTACCAGGTCATGTCAAGAGTACTGTGTTCAGTTTTGGATCTCCCAACAAAAGAAACATAAATAAACTCAAGTGAGCACAGCAGGGCCACAAAGATGGCTAGGCGCTGCATCAGTTGCTTGAAGAGGAGGGACTGAGGGAATGCAGTTTATTCAGCTGGGGAAGGAAGGCTTTGGTGGATGTAGGAGAATCATTGCAACATTCCTGGTCTACTTGCAGTGTTATGTGTAAGGAGGAAAGGGTAATGAACAAGCTGAAGACAGTGTAGTACAGACTACACGTAAAGAGAAAGTCTTCCTCATGAGGACAGCAGTGGAATGGGTTGCCCTAAGAAGTTGTGTTTGCTCCATCTGTGGAAGTTTTGAAGAACCTGGTCTGACTGTTTTAACAGGAGGTTGGACCAGGCACCTCCTGAGGTCTTTTCCAAAAAGAGAATTGCCCTATAATTTGTGAGTGATCAGTACTGCAAAACTGCTTTGGATGCAGAATCCTATCCCAGTCTCTGTCATAAATCATTCCACACCCATTTTATAACCAAGGTACAGAGCCTTTAACTACCCAGTTGTTGATAAACCTTTTTTCACACAGCAACTGTCAAGACAGTTTTTTCTAGCCCCACTCAGTACGCATGCACACAGTACACAGTTGGGTATATCCAGTGGATACATGTGATCCCACGTCTGAGACCAAAGAAGCCTGACTACAAGTGTCTTAAAACTGCTTAGCTGAGATGCACCTGTGACAAGTGGCTCAGACTGCCTCGTTCCTAAGAACAAAAGCCGAGATGGCAAGGGGGTACTGGATATGCTGGGCTGGGGAAAAAGAGGGTGGGAGGGGGAGACTGATGGAGATACACCAGGCAGAAGCTGAGCACCAACAAAGAATAAGGAGGTGCAGGGCAGGAGAGGTGTACAAAAAAAAGGGCCAAGCCATGATGCCGGTGGCTGAGAGACACCTCTGTGCTTCATGCTCTCCTTTCATTCCCTTCTGTCCATGTTCCTGCTCACCGCTCCTCTCCCATAAACTCCCCGCTGGCACCGCCGCGCCAGCTCACCCCAGCAGGGCGGGAGCTGCCAGCACACATCAACAGCGGGCATTCATCGCCACACGTTCGGCACTGCGCGCCGCGGATGTTGTTTCCATCAGAGCGGGGGCGCAAAAGGAACCCCGCTCCACCCCCGCCCCCCCACCGCCTGAACACCGTCGGTCTCTCCCCAGCGCCACGCCCGCTCCGTCGCCCGGGAAGCGGTGGCGAAGGCCAAGACCGCCCAGAGAAGCACAGAGCAGGGGCGGGGCCGAGCCGGGCCGAGTCGAGTCTATCCAGCCGCGATGGAGGGGGGCGAGACGGCGGGCTTGCTGGCGGAGCGCGGCCCGGGCCGGCTCAAGACGTACCGGCGGCGGTGGTTCCTGCTGGCCGTGGTGTGCCTGCTGAACTGCTCCAACGCCATGGTGAGCGGAGCTGGGCGGCACCGAGCCCCTCGGGCGCGGGAGTAGCCTTTCTGACCGGCAGAATCCGCGGCGGAACGGCGTGCTGGGGAGGAGGGCTGCGCGCGTGAGCTCGTGGGGAACCGAGGAGCACCGCGGTGAGGCCAGACTGGGATGGAGCGCAGGTGGAAGTGCTGATGAGACTCCTTGTGGCCCACTGGGAGGCTCAGAAACACCGAGTCTTGAAGGACGGCTTCAGGCTAAAGGAGTACGCTGTACCCCGTGGGTACAGCAGCACGAGTTGGCTGGGCTTCAATGCTGATCTGGGCCAGTAGGCTTAGATGTGCAGAAAAAGGAGTGGGTGGGTTACCTTCTGGTGTTTGCTGCAAATACAGAATGGAAAAGGAGAGATTTTGCAGCAGGCTAAGGATGACAGAGCTGTGAGGGGCCTAGAGCACAAGTCTTACAGAGAGCAGCTGTGGGAACTGGTACTGTTCAGTCTGGAGAAAAGGCAGCTGAGGGGAGACTATCACTCTCTACAACTGCCTGAAAGGAGGTTGTGATGAGGTGGGGTTCAGCCTCTTCTCCCAGGTGACAGTGATGGGATGAGAGGGAATGGCTTCAAGTTGTGCCAGTGGAGGTTCAGGTTGGATATGAGGCAGCATTTCTTCTCAGAAAGAGTGGTGATGCAGTGGCACAGGCTGCCCAGGGAGGGCAGTCCCTAGAGGTATTCAGGAACCATGTGGATGTGGCACTAAGGGACATAGTTTAGTGGGCATGGGCTGACAGCTGAACCTGCTGGTCCTAGAGATCCTTTCCAACTTGAAGCAGAATGGTGTGGGAACTTATAATTTCCATAGATACTTAATTCTGAAAGGCCTAAAGAAGGGATGCTAGATCACACCTATTTGTTGAGCACATTAAATTGTTATCAAGGTAAATATTGTCTTGTTTCCTCATACCAAGTTGGATGCCCAAATCTTCACTCACCAATTCATTGAGGACGTTATTGATAATTAATCAGGCAGTGTAGATTTATGTACTTGAGGATTACTATGCCATGAGTGCATGCTGTCTGGCAGCCAAGGTTGGGCATGTTCATTTATGGGAAGGAAGAATGTGTCTTCCATGATGCAGAAGTGCTGTAGCGGAGAAATGAAAAAATACAGTGAGAATCTGGCTGTATGCTGAAACATCAGAAAGCTCAGATACCCTCTTTAGGCAAAATCTCTGTATCCTCTAAGGGTGCGATAAGTTGTCCTGCAGAAAATCAATTTGAAGCTCTGTTGTTTGCTTGCAGTTAGGTCGGCACAGCACAAGTGCATCATGTAACAGGAAAGCACCACTGTTAGCCTGGATGCCTGTCCTGGCTAGGAGTGGGAGTGACAACATAGGGAAAGGATGCTGTACAAAGATGTTACAGGCCCTCGTGGAAGACTTGAACTTTGCAAATAGTTAATAATGAAACTGAAGAGATACTTGAAATGGTCCTTCAGATACACCTGCAAGTGAACCTATGTCTTGGGTCCTGCTGCTGGAAGGAGGGTACTGTTGTCTGCCTGCTCAGTCTTGTGCCAACTTCCTGGTTGTCGGTAGCCTTATTTTACCACAGTAGCAACTTGGGCCAGAACTTCCCCACATCAAAACTGTGTGCTTAATAGACACCCTCCAGTACCAATACTGTTTAGTAAGCCTCTGCACATCTGTGGAATTCACAAATATGCTGACACAGAAAGTTGTGACCAAATGTTTTCTGATGCAGATGTTCCTCCCAAATATTACAGGGGAAAATCACATCAAAACTGAGGGAGTGGTTGAAAGGCCATGAAATCAACTTGGCTGGTTTCTGTTTAAAAGTTCCAGATGGAAAGATTAGCTTACCAGTTCTGTGGCATGAAAATTGCCATGCAAGTTGAGATGTGTCCTTAATTCCTGCTCAGGTGCTGCATGCAGTACTTTGTGGTGGGTATTCCTGTGTCAGTGTGTCTGCAAAATGCAAATGGTGAGCACACCCAACTTCTGAGCTCTCTTATTTGGAGAGAGCAGGTCACCTCATAGGGTGGACTGAGCTTCTGTGATGACACCTTGTTTCCTCCTCTTAGTCATGCACACATGCAGCTTTCCTTTTTAGTGGCCTCTGGTGTCAGTGAAAGTGACAGACAGCAGGTAGCCCTGAGAGAGGAGGATTGTTGTCAGTGTCACGAGGACAATGTAGGAGCAATTTGTCTGCAGGAAAGCACGCTCAGTCATGCAGCAAGGACAGGCTGAGATATAAATGTTTCTTTGTTCATTCTGTTTTAAAATTCTGATTGAGTGAAGCTGGGCCTGTCTGTGTGATGATGAAAAGGAAAGTATCTCTGCTCTACATCACCTTGTAAAATTCTTTCTCTATGAGAGAGAATATGAGGGTAGATAAGGAAAGCTTTTACACCAGAGAGAAGCTGTCTTTTCCTTGAACATCTGTTACTGACATGGATTTAAGAGACACTGTTTGTAACTGCTCCGTGAAGTGACTACTGTCTTGCTGGAGCTTGGTTCTCATATCTCTAAATACTGCTGTTCTGGACACTGCTAGCTGAAAACTGAAATCCTTGCATCATTTTAAAAAAGTCCTTAAGTAGGCATCATCTACTTCATGCAGATTCTGCCTGAAGTCCTGGGCTATGTGGCACTTCTGACCACATCTGGGCTAAGCTTAGGTGATTGCTCCCCAGATGTCTCATGCCACCACTTTTGAGTAAGAGGTGACATTATTATGTGGATGCACTCCATGTTTGTTTTGTTAAATTGACACTGTGTTTTTGAGTGTGTGGGTGTTTAACCTAAAGCTTTGCTGTTTACTAGTACCCAGGAAGTGCTAACTGCTGAGGCAAAAGCCTCCTTTCTCTTTGCCTCCTTACTGCTGAGTTCAAAGGGTGGAAACTGCTTTGCAAGAGGAACTTCCTGCCTCAGTGGTGGGGACAGAGAAATGCACAGCAGAATGAGTCTGGGAGTGCTTCCTGCCCTGCTCTGTGCTTGTCAGCTTGAGTAAAGTGAAGAGGAAGGAGGAGGAAGCAGCAGGCAGAGCTGGCTCACACGTGGCTGGCTGGCTCCTGACTTGCTCTCCTGAAGGACTTGTACCACTGCTTGGTGCACTTGGAGAGGAAGGAGAGCCGCACAAGTGCGCTGCAGGGCTTTGTGCACACACTCCTCACCCACACCTGTCTGTTCCAGAGGGCCCTTATAGATATGTATTCACACGCAGCTGCTGCTGTCCAGCACCTGCTCCTGCCTATCTTCCCATGGTCTTTAAGAGGCTGAAACTGACATCCAAGCTGTCTGTCCTTCCTTCCTGGGCTACTGCATTAGCATGGATGGCATCAGCTGAGGTCAGAGGCTATTCGCTTTTGGTCTTGGTGTCAGTTAGCTCGAAGAAGAGAAATCTGGTGTGTGGCTTTGGAGGAGGAGTACTGTGTGTCACAGGAGGACATCCAACATCACTTTCATGGCAGCCACACTGCCTTGTCCTGGTGCATGGGAGAGCATGCTGAGACTGGGCGGCTGCTGCTGAAAGTGACTGCCTGATGATTGCTGAGCTGTGTCTGTTGTAAAGAACAAGGTCTCCTTTCTTATGAGCCATGCTTTTCAGACTGTACAGGAAAGATGTTAAAGAGGCGTTGCCACATACAATACAGTCTGCCTGACAGTGAAAAACACTCCAAATGGCAACTTGTGCTAGCTGACACTGCCATTAACATGGCAAAATGCTTGCACCTTATTTGGTTACATGTGCTTTCCACTCTGCAAGTCTTTTTGCTTTTCACATCTAAAATCTTAATTTGTTGGTGTATGTGGAGGTAGACATTGGTTAACAGCTTACATTTCATGAAAACCAATATTTTTCTACTGTATCTGGTGAGGCTGTTTGTATATGTAATGTATGAATATACTTAGGGTGCTCCTTTGACATCTGGCAGTCCCAGGGTTGCATTTATTTATGCTGCCCTCTCCAGCTGTTGCTTAGTGAAGTGTTGAGTCTGCACTGCCTTTAGCTGTCCCTCGTGCTGCTACCAGTGCAGGCAAGGACGTGTTGGCATGCAGCCCACCAGTAACCTCCTGCAGAAGTGGGAGGGAGGACAGATGCTGGACTCCTTTGGAATGGGTGGAGGGAGACTAGATTGTAAGCCTCTTACTGATGTAATTAGGTTGCAGGGATGCTGAAAATCTATTCTGGTAATGATGGTCATGCTTACTCATTTTTACTCTCTGTTCTGCAGCTATGGCTGACATTTGCTCCAGTGGCTGACCAGACTGCTGCCTACTTCCACATTTCCCTGGAGATGGTCAACTGGCTCTCAATAGTGTACCTGCTCATCTCAATCCCCTTTGGTCTGGTGGCAACATGGGTTCTTGACAGTGTGGGGCTCAGATGTGCTGTGAGTTGAATCATTCTGTTACCATTAGGGCTTGTCACCCAAAGATGGTGGAGGTAACCTCTCTGTGGGTTTAGCAGGACAAAGCACTGGTATGTAGATGGTGAATCTTGTCTTGCTAAATGCAGAAGAGGATGGCTGTGTTGAAAGCTCAGTTCTAGTTCAGTAATAGCTGTCACCACCTTGGAAGGGGGGGAGTAGTAGGAAAAGTCATAATGAATGTAGTATTTCTCCTGTTTTTCTGCTTGGTTTTTTTTTTTTTTTTTTTTTTTTTTTTTTTTTTGCTTTAGCCATCTGACAGGGACGGACAGCATTGGATGGGGTTTCCTAGGGAGTAGTGTTAATATAGCTATTGTGCTTGTAGGGCCAGTTTAAGGAATGGCAGGACCAGGTGCAAGCAAGCTAGTGACTCCTGTCAGCTCACAGTGTGCTGTGTGCAAAGCAGCTTGGTATCTCAGCACAGTCTTCCGAAAAACTGTGAGGCTTGAGATTGTGGCACTTAAACAAGCACTAAGGGAACAGAACACTAGCAGGACCTGTATACTGGATAAGTTATTTCCATGGTCTTTGAATCATCACAGCAAGATATATGGGTGATGGCAAAAACTTGAAAACAGAGTGAGAATAGTGAACTTTGGATTTCTACTAAATCCCACAACAGTATCTGTTGTCTTGCATAAGCTGCATGATGGTGTAGACCAGAAAACCTTGATCCTTAAGGAGCCTGGTAAATAGGTTATCTTTGGATCAGTAACATCCTGCAGTGATCCAAAGGGGTGGGGATCTGCAGGCAGTTTTCTGTGTAGCCATTATTAACCATTATTAGTGTGTCCCAGAATTCATCGGAGACCTTGCTTATGCTATGTTGTTGCATTAAGTTATGTCCTTCGCGTTGCAACGCACAACCCATGGCTGTTTCTGCTTGCAGGTGATCCTGAGTGCATGGCTGAATATGATGGGTAGCATCATCCGGATGTTCAGCGTCCTGAAGTTCATGAGCTTGGGCTCCCAGAATTACTGGTACCTGTTTGTTGGGCAGTGCCTCTGTGCATTGGCTCAGCCTCTTGTCATCTTTTCACCAACTAAGCTGGCAGCTTTATGGTTCCCAGATCACCAGAGAGCAACTGCAAATATGATCTCATCCATGTGTAAGTGGTACTACACGGTAACTTTGTTACCTTCCAGAACCTGCTAGCATTTGTACTGCTTTTAGAGACAGCCAGCAAACGAAGCCTTCTCTACACAGTTCTTAGGCCTTGCAAGCGCAGCTCTAGCCAAAAGTGTCATAGCTTCCTGCAATAAATCAGTGCCTTCAGAGGCTTCACAGGACAGGCAGGCATTCTCATGCTACCAAGTGAGAAATGGGCCTCAGCCATGTCCAAGTGCAGAGTTATAAGTGAGGTTCCCAGCCTACTTCTCCTCTGCCATAACAAGATGACTATCTTTGCTGAGGATAGCCCTCAGCATTACTAAATCTCAAGTCTGCAGTGGCTTTACCTGTGCAACTTGTTGAGCGTATGTCCAGTTTGCAAGCTATGCTTGTGGTCATAGAAATCAAATTCTGTAACTAGATAGAGGTGAGGCTGCATCAGCAGTTTTGTTCACCAGTTCATCCAGTAGCAAGGCTGATCATCTGTTCCCAGTGCATATATTTTACATGCTTACACATGTAAAATATACTTGATGAGCCATGCATACACACTGAATGTGCTAAGTGCAGCAGGACTATGCACACAGAAATAATTTCTCAATTGTAAAGTCCCTAGCAAAAGTTTCTGGAAGCTGGGAAACTGGAGGTACCAGATCTGCTTTCTCTGACCTCATCCTTTTCTTGGTTCCTTTATCTGCTACTAGGGTTAGGATACTGCACTTAAAAGACCTGTTTCCTCCTTCTGTGTGACATTTTCCTTGGCTTCTCTCTTCCTTGAGACATACCCAAAAACTGGGCTGACCTGCTGGTTCCAGCTGCCAAATCATTACCTGAAGGTATGAGGAAGATTCCACACTGCCATAGAGTTGTGTCAGAAGGGATAAGTCAGGGGAAAAGGCCAGTTTAGAAAGACACCTGTACAGCTTTTCCAGTGCTTCTGGTAAACTCAGACCATGAATGCTTATTTAGAAGGATGGATATATGTGATGTTAGAACAAGGCAATTCTTTTTGCACCACCTTCCCTAGAGTAGGGTACACAGTTACTTCTTTCCCAGGAGTGAGATAAATCTTTACCTTCCCTTCTGGAGAAGGAGCTCTGTTGTGTGTTGTGACACCAGTACTACCAGAGGAATTCAGAAGGTGCTGGTGGGCACCACTGGGCCCTGTGATCCTTTGCTGTGCTATGAAGGATCACAGCGTGTAGAAATCTGATTGCTTTAAGTGAGAGAGCATCCAGAGCAGCTAAATAGTATACCATTGATGTAGTGACCTTAGACCTTACATGAATAACTGTGGGAATTAATAAAACTGAAGAGCTAGGAGTAGTAGATACTCAAGATTTGAATCTGTTCAAACTGTGGCTTGCTGAGATATCAGTGTAAGGACTGAATGGGCTGTGATAATAATCTGCTGCGACGCTTGCATGTTGCTGTCTAGCAGGCTTTCATTAGTAGTGTCTGGTTACACCCATTACTGTCTGCTGTATAAAATCAGAATTTCATTTTTGAAAAGAGTTTGAATATTGCCTAGAAGGAGCATCTGCCTCAGCCTGTTCGTTTACTTCAGTGGTTAATTACCTCACTAACAAATGTCTACATGCTACTTCTCATGCTTGTTGTGCCTTGGCCATTCAGTTGTGTTGAACCTGTTTGGCAAGAAGTTATGGGCAATCACCCCAACTTGGCTTTGTCTAGGAAGACTGAAATGCTCCAGTACAGTCACTTCACAGTCACTTTACAGGCACATTTCCCTTTTCCTTTTCACACATATCTCCATGTCTGCTCACAGAAGCTTTTTCTCTCAGCTTGTTCCAGTTTATCAATATCCATTTCCTGTGTTAATGCTAGAGCAGTGCTCAGTGTTGGAGTACTGTTTGCACCAATGCTGTATGCAAAATCTGGCCCTGCCAGTATCTCCACAGCTTCTGGTAGTACCTCTAAGCAGGATTTGCTGTTTTTTTGTATGCAGATAGAAACAGGTCCTCCACACAGGATCCAGCTGAGTAGCTGAGATCACTATTACTCATCGGTGCTCTTCAGTATTTACCATACACAGTCCTCTTATCACTCCCAGAGACCTACTCATATAGAAGCAGTGAGGGCCCAGAATGGATCCCTGTGAACACCATGAGAAATTCTCTTGTTTTATTTTACCCAGATACAGAAGTTTTAATGCATCTCCCTGGGAATTGTTGTTTAACTATTTCCATTACATCAGTGAGTACTTTCCAAATACAGAGCAAGAATGCTGTGATTGTTGTGTGCTGTAGCATTATTAATGAGCTTTGGCAGAACTGCTGTTGTTCTATACAAAATATTGGTGTAATTCAGTGGTTGAGCTCTGGAATATCCCACACATCAGTAATACTCTCTTACTGAGGAGTGGTGGAAGGTGTGCACTGTGTACATGCTGTGTGCTTATTGGACAGTCTTCACAAAATGTAATATGAGGCTGCTCTGGCTGGTTCCCTAGCTGTATGGATTCTTATTATTTTAAAAGAATATTTTTCTGATTTTTTGCTCCAGACTAAATATTCATACATCTACAGCACTACCAGCTCCTGGCATGTTTGCTGCTTCTGAGAATAAAATTGACAAACACATCCAGTGCACGTGCCAGAAGGTAGCCAGACAATTCTTGGCAACTACCACTTTTTGATATGCACACTGTTCTTGTGGGAGAGGGGTAAGACAAACCAGCTGTGGCTCGCTCCTTTTCCCTAACTGCAAGTGCCTGCAGGATGCTGGTTTTCTACTTACTGTGAAAAATTAGTCTTTTAAGGCTGGCTGGCTGTGACAGTGGCTGATCATGCTGCAGGAATGTACAGGTGAATAAGGAAACCATGGTGCCAGTGAAGCACTCAGGAGACATTGAACTTGGAGGAAGGCTGAGGAAGTGATACATGAAGGCATCACATTGCATTCAAAAGTGTCCCAGCTAGTGCTAGGATACATGTTTTCCTAGCTCCAGACTCTGGTGAGATTCTGAGGTTGTCTGGATTTCTCCTTTATTTGTTGCTGTTCCTGTATAATATCAGGACAGATTACATGTAGTGGTTTATCTTCATTAAGTCCCTATGTTGCTGGAACAGCCTTGTGAGGGTGCAGACAACATAATTTGTACATGAAAATCAATTTCCAGCTTTAGGTCTTGTAGGAAGATGGATGTATAAATGAATTTCCTGATGATGACGCAACAAATGTGACAACAGTGAGACCACACAGTTAATTTCTCTCACATGTTTGGTTTCTTCATTGGTCTGACTCTACTTGATTTTTGGAAGCTGCTACTCTGGTGCTGAGTGGTGATATAGATTAATAAATGATTATGACTGCTTGCATGAAAAACATCTTTTTATTTTCTTCTAGCCAATCCCTTGGGTATTCTTATAGCAAACGTTCTGTCACCTGCACTAGTTCCTGAAGGAAGGCACATCCCATTGATGGTAAATGAAAACTGATTTTATCTCAGCCACTGGGATTGGCTGGGATTTGTGTTTGGAACAGTGGAGCTGGAAAGACCTGTAACATTGCTTTGCTTTCTGTTGTGTAGCTAGGTGTTTATGCCATTCCTGCCCTAACGGCCTGTGTTCTAGCTACTGTGGGGATTCGTGAGAAGGTTCCTCCAACACCTCCTTCAGCCAGTGCCACTAACTCCACCTCTCAGCCTTTCTTCATGGGGCTCAAAATGGTAAGTGCTGTAGCACAGAGAGGAACCAGTGTTTAAATGAGAGATGCAGCTTTGACAGGCAGGGATTTGTTAAGGAATCTGCTGAGAAAGTAGGCTCTGAATTTCACTCCATCAGTTCTGCCATGGAAGATTCTCTTCCTCGGGGAGTGAATTCTGCTCACAACAAAGCTGTGAGGGATACTATCTGGCCATTTAGCCATGGCTGGTTGCTCTTTAGCCAGTACAGACAAGAACACTGGACTCCTCCAAGAGGACTGCACAGCCTGAGCTTTCTGAGATGATAGCAGATGCAGTAACAGATGAAGAAGAATTTGGGCATTGAAGAGATCCCTCCTTCTTACACGGCCTCTGTTTTTTCACTTGTCTGCTGGCCGAACTGACAAGGGGTTCCATACTCCTCTGCTCACAGGGTTGCCCTCAGCATTTCTAACTTAAGAGGTCAGAGCATCTAACCCCCTAGTCTGTTGTCACAGCCTGGCCATTTTTCCTTCACTTGTTTAAGTATGTTAACTTCTTTTTCTAGCTCCTGAGAAACAAGCCGTACATCATCCTGGCAGTGTGCTTTGGAGGAGGAATTGGGATGTTCACCTGCTTTTCAGCTCTGCTAGAACAAATCCTTTGTGAAAAGGGTTATTCAAACGTGAGTTTTTTCCCTTCCTCCCCATTGACCACATCTTCCATGATCCAAATGATTTCCTTGATAAGTAAATCAGAACAAAATGAAGACAATTGAATATGTTGCACTGTCTCATATCTTATTTGCATGTTCTCTTTAATGTATGTTAAGCAGTACATTAATGCCCAGCACAGTTTTCTTCTTTTCACAGTCTTTCAGTGTAATGGATGATCTAGGTTTTTATTACTGCCTTTGTCCAGGCTCACTTTTGCAATTTAAAAACCTTTTCTCCCCAAACACTGTTTAGGGTATTGCATTTTCCGAAGCTGTTGTAGAACATAGATGTTTAAGCAGCTTTCTGACTTCCCAGAGAGGCTTGGAGACTCATGTGAGCCCTAGAGCAACCAGGCTGCTGAAGGCTGGCTGATGCAATTGCTTTTTTACTTTAGGCAGTCTTACATGAAGTCAAGGCAGTAGGAAATCACAGGTACTGTGACATATCTGTTTCTCCTTACTTCCCAGGGTACTGGCCAGGTGCAGCTTTCACGGCTGTAAACAGGGTTTGCACAGCTGGTTCCTCCTGCTGTCTCCCTGCAATAACAAGGGGCTGCACCAGTTCCTATGTTTCCCCTTAGGCGGACAGCACTTTAGTCCCACTGCTCGTATCCTCCTGGAGTCCTCTTAAAGCACTCTTAACTCCAGCTGTTAGATGTCTGCACATTGACCTGCCTTGCTGCACGTTCAGCTTCCCTTGCCAGGCATGCCAAAATTTGTCATCCAGTGAAACCTCAAGACTACTTTGTTGTCCTACACATGTAGGAGCACTGATTCTGGGCCCAGTTGTTTGCAGCCCACAGCCCTGCAGTGAAAACTTGCTCTGCCTCAGAAAGTGACCCGCTAGCAGCAGGCAGGTGGATCAGTCAGTGACATTAAAACCTCATTCCTAACCACTGTGTTTTCTCAGCTACTTAATTTTTATGTCCACTAGGTATTTGCTGGCCTGGATGGTGCTCTGTTCACAGTGTGCGGTTTGTTGGGTGCCTTCCTGCTAGGATTGTATGTTGACCGGACAAGGAATTTCATAGAGTCCACTAAAGTCTGTTTCTGTCTGAGTGCCCTTGCCAGCATCATTTTTGCAGTGGTGAGTTCTCCCTTGCATTGTACCACACCTATGGGCTTATTTCTGTTGCCACCTAGTAAATCATCAGCTCAAAACAGGGTCATTTGATGTCACAGTATTTATTAAGCTTTTATGAAGATAGGATTTTTAACAGAAAAACCCTTTTCTGGAGATTTCACAGAGTAACTTTGGAGCTTCACACAGAGCTTCAGGACATAAATGAATTGATGCAATTTACTTCCTTATGTTGGATCACTTCTCTCTTACCCCTCCTTTTCTTCCTCACCCTTGTCCCATACAAACTATTAGTTCAAAGCAGTAAAATAAAATCCACCCATTCAAATCTGCTTGATGCCCTGATGTTTTGAGCTCTGAATCCAGACACAGTTTGTACTTCACAAGCTCCATCCAGGCCTCTGGAGCTCTGCTGCAAGACACCTGCTGTTTCTTTGGGAATTTAAAGCATTATTAAGGAATGAGGTTACCAGCACTCTGGCTGCAGGGCTTATGCTCCTAACTTTCTTAGTGGTGAGACAAGGCCATTTTTTTCCACCAGACCTAGGAATTAGGCTGCTTTGGGCATTAAATTTAGCACCAAAGTTTGTGGATTATTCAGGTTTTTTCTTTGTGTGTGTTTGTTTGTTTAAATATCCCAGTGTTACAAACATGAATCTAACATGATAAGGAATAGTTTTAAGTGTAAACTGAGCTATAGTATCCCAGTGAATTCTCACATGTAATTCACTGCAAATTGCCAGTTCTGAAATGCTTCTCAGGATGACAGAGTGTGTTTCACTGAGTTGTGGAGATAAAACAAGTGCACTTGCAGTTAGTAAGTTCAGAAAATCGAGTCACAGTACTGTGACTGCATCCACATTCTTCACATAATTCTGCTGATCCTCTGTTGCCTGGCTTAAAAAGCTAAATGTTCACTGAGTAGCAATTTGTTGACTCTAGAGATTTGAAGAATGAAGAAATACAGTGCTGGTGGATAGCAAATGCTTGGGACTACCTGCAGGTTATGAGTTCAAAGACCTTCTGTGCAGCAAAGTTGACTGAGATTTTTATGCTGTTTTTCCGCCTGCAGGCTTCTCGGTTCAGACATCAGGCCATTGCTCTGGCCATCTCCTGCTCAATCTTTGGTTTCTTTGGTTTTGCCATGTACCCTGTTGCCATGGAGCTGGCAGTGGAGTGTTCTTATCCTGTGGGAGAAGGCACATCTACAGGACTGATTTTTGTTGCAAGGTAAGCAGACAAGTTAAATCCAGGTGACAGATGAACATGAGTTCCTGTGCACACACAGGTTCATTGATGCAGACAGAGCAGAATGAGCATCACTGTCAGCCATGCTGCTGCCTTTGTGCAAGGGATGAAGTGGCTGGCTGAGCTGTGGAGTCAGTGAACTTCCACTAAACGTTTTGGTACTTTTCTGCTGCAGGAATGACTGAGCCCTAAGCAGTGTTATGCCTGCTCAGTACCACTTTTGTGTAACAAGTGGAGCTGCAGCAGCAAGAAACCAGTCAAAGAGGGGCAACAGACACTTGATTTGAAAGCTCTTGTCTCCCACTGGTTCTGAACTTCATTGCTGCTATCGGCCAGCTGTGATGAGGAGGAGGCTGAAATCTTTTTCCCATCCTCACCCCTGCAGTGAGAGGTATTTCCAAACCTCTAACCAGTGACTAAGCCTCAGGACCTTGACAGCTGTAGTTCAGTACCTTCCCAGCTTTGCAGTGATTGCACTGTCATCCTGCTGTGTTGGCAGGGTGTTCTGAAAGGCTGATGTGACCTGTGAACGAGAGCCTGTTAGCCAAGGGCATTGGTCAGGAACAGCTGATTGCGGCTTTCTCTGCAAGAAGGACCCTGTTCTGGGCATTGCTTTCTTTTACTGAGGAAACTGGACTTGTTTTGGTCATTGGTGAAAGAGGTAGTCACTGCATGCTGGCTTCTCTCCACAGCCAGATTGAAGGTGTGGCTTTTATGATTCTGCTGCAAGCCCTCACTGTCCGTGTTTCTAAGGACCCATCTTCTACCTGCGCTCTTGACCAGGATGGAGCCCTAGACTGGACAAGTAAGCACATCTTTAAAAAACAATACTGCATGCTCAGCTGCACACTACATGTCCCCCACTCCCACCTATGTCTCACTGTTAAGGACCCTGCAAGACCAGTTTCTACTGCACCTGTCTCTGAGCTTCACCACTCTTAGTGGAAAATCCTATCCATGTAGCACACACAGCCTGTGCTGCTATGCAATGTGGCAAGTCAAGACTACAGACACACTGACTAAAAATTAATTCCTTTGCTTCTGCACGCATAGATGTTACAGGGTTTGTAGTGTGCCTGTGCAGCTTTGTTCTGACTTATTCCACACTACTGTTCCTAGCCAGGAGAAGGCAAACTGAGATGAAATGAAGCACAAATATGCTTGCACTGTAAGCTAAATTCTCATTTTGATCTCTTATTTATGTAATACTAACATCAGTTCCTAAGGACACACCGTAACACAGAGGCTGGCAAGCATTTTTTCTTTTAAATTTTCAGCTGAGCAGGAATCCCCAGAACCAGCTCTACTTGCTGACAGGGAACAAGACTTCGCTGTCCCCAAAAAGCAATATGGCTTCATCAGGGTGGTGAGGTTCAGAGAAGCCATTGATGTCCCATCCCTGGAGGTATTCAAGGCCAGGTTGGATGAGGCCCTGGGCAGCCTGAAGTAGTGGATGGCAACCCTACCTGTGAGAGAGAGTTGGAAATGGGGCTTGTAGTTTTCTTCACCAGTCTCCAACACGCAGCTGTACACACACATGCACACAAAATACATGCAGACGTATTCCCACAAACTCACTGCGTGCAGTGATGTAAGACCTCCAACCTGTGGGGCCGTGGAGGACTTGAGTTCTGGCAGATTTCAGTCAAATCATCTTTCAGAGTCCTTGTTATGTGAGGTGGGATTTGACTTTCACCCAACCAATGTTGCCCAGTCTTAAGCTGTACATTGTCCTCAGGCTAGCCCTGGAGAGATTTTCACCTGGACCGTGCAGTTGCTCTGGACTTTTGCAACACTGGAGAATGAGGATTCAGTTCACCATCTAAAAGTGTATCTTGTTTGCAGCTCCAGTCCTGTTGATGGCAGGCCTCTGCAGTGCCATGGCATGTTTCTACGTCATCTTCTTTCACACTGACTACAAGCGGCTCCATGCTGAGACAAACAGTAGTGACACGGTCAAGGCAGAAGATACAGGATCAGATGATGTTCCTGAAGCCTAATCCAGCTGAGGAGGGCATACCAAGGGACCAGTCAGGGAAGGACTCAGGCCTGTGAGCAGGGTTCAGGACTGCATGTGCTCAGCTGGCAGGCGGGGATATGGGTCCTGCTGCAAAACAAGCACTTTGGATTTCAGAAGGGGGGGGGGGGGGGCTACTGCAGGCATTGGGGCACATTTGCTATGCTTCCCCCAGTCTGGTATTTATTTGTGAGTGTTGTGAGTGTAGCACTGGGCTGCCAGAGAGACCAAAGGAACTGGACAACTACACAGATAACAGGGATTTCTCCCTGACTTGGTTCAAGCTGAAGAAATGTTGCAGAGAACAAGAGCATCATATTTCACCATTTTTGCATGTGTACTTAGATCAGAAGAGAAGCTTTAAAAGGGGTGGAAGCACTTCCTACCACAAACATGCCAGAAAAATTGCCTTCTAGAACTGTGGTTCTCATACAGTGTAAGGATTCTTCCTGTTAAGTGTGGAGCTCCTAGGAGGCACAATAGTGTGGCAGGAGCTACATCATTCTGTTGCAGTGAGGAGATGTAAGTGTATGATCTGCAGTATAAATCTGTTGCAAGTAAGACACTTAGTCCTCTCTTAGAAACAGGAAAAGAAAACAGGACTGTTAGAGAAAAAATGAGTAAGCAGCAGACATTAAGTATGCCAGTTTTCCTTGCCCTGTCTGGTCACTTGCTGGATGCTGAGACATTTTAGATCAGTTTGTTTTAGCTGGGCTCTGTTTGTTTCATCATCTGTCCTGCAATTCCATTGATTCAAGCTTTGCACAAGAAGACAAACTTGCTGATGTGATTAGGGTTGTGTATTCCACCAAGCCAAGACATGCTTTCCCATAGGAGAAAGTCAGTCAGTCATGCAGAAGTCAGGTCACTTTTTTGTGAATGGTGTGGCAGTGCTTGGTGGCGCAGAACTGGCAAGAGATCTGGCAAGATGACTATGTAGAGAATGGACGGCACCTGCACAAGTTCCTGCAGATTACAGGGACTTTTTTGAGGAAGATCAAGTAAGAAACAACATCCAAAACCTTCAATTTCTCTCTGCAACTGACAGCTATTCTAGAGTGTTTGAAGAGACTGTTAGTGACCCAAAAGATCCCTTTGGAGTTCTGTTACATTACCAATTACAGTGGGTATAATGGTCTTTTCATTTGACAACAATACTTGCACAGCAGCCCAGTGTCCTGCTTTGGTGTTCAGGTCTTAATGTACAACTTCAGGACTTTCTACTTTTGAATATTTTGGTGCTAAAAAAAACAGATGGTGGAATTTGGGGATGTTTCATACCATGCAACTTGCAGGGGGATCTCAGAATTGTTGACCTCTGAAAACAGTGACTGTTTTTCTCCACTCTGGTTAGATGTTCACAAGGCAAAGAATGCACTTTCCCTAAGAAATAAGGTAAAAAAGAACTTTCTCAATGACTGAATTCTCTTCTGTGTTAGCATGTAGTTAGCTATAGATGTCCCGTTCATTGCCAGGACGACCTTTAAAGGTTCCTTCCAACTCAGATGATTCCGTGATATGGAATTCTCTCCCTTTATAAAACGAATTCCTGCATCTTTCTAGGGAGTCAGCTAGTTCTTACAGCTCCAGCCTTGCTATCCTTTGCAAGCACTGATGTCTGTCAAGGTGAGCAGGAAGGATGTCTTAAACTGAAGTGAAGCAAGATGAATACAGATCTGCCAGAGGAATTAAATTAGCCATCTCTGACACTAACTTGTTGGTAATTTCTGCAGCCCTGGGACTAATAATGGAATTAACACCAAATACACCAGTTCACTTCTGAGTCCTGATGTACTGGGAAACAAAAATCACTTGGTACTTTATAAAATTTATATATTAACAAATACTTATGTTTTTTAATAAAGGGTCATTTAATAAAATATTAAGAAAAAAATCATCTTTTCTCACTTTTTATAGATGCAAGGGTGCATCACATCTGCTACAGCAGAAATGAAAGGTTTCTATGCTTTGCATTTGTGCATGAAGTTGTGTTTGAAATCGTGATGTTGAGTGGTATCTTAGATCTCTAGAAAGGCAGTATGAAATTAGCTGAAGGTGATACTACAGTTACCTTTATGCTCAAGGACAGGTTGAGAGAGGTAACTAATAGCAAGCATCTTCAAAATCTGTAGTCCTAGTCAGAATCTACCTTACGGGAGTTAAATACTCTTATCTTTATCCAATCATATAAGGGAACACTGAAAGGCAACATTTTTTTTTCCATCAGACATACAGGTGTGCAAAGCTTATTCTGCATTCCAGATATAATGTGAAGTGGGCTGTTCCTTCACAAGGGTTGTCATACACTCACAACGTACTGAAAAGGCATGATGGTGTGGCTAACAGTGGAGCTAGGTAGTTTGTGCGCAGCTTGCACTACCATTTATTTGTACTGGTTGTGCTAACTTAACGTTTAGTCTCCAGAACAAGAGAGTCAAATTTCTGCCCAGGTCAAACCATGGCTACAGTTAGCTTACTGCTCTGTGTCCTTCTCAGGGGTGCATAACTCAGCTGCTGCTCACAGTCCTTGGAAAGCCTATGAGTAGGAAGCTGAAATCTTCAGGATAGAGGGATTTTGATGTTAAGGCATGGCCCTGGCATGCTGGATTGATGGATATGTGTCTTCTTCCTGCCAAAGGTCTGCTCTGACAGCATTAGCAAGCTTTCTGTGACTCTCAGTCACAGTAACTCTCATTAAAGGCCTTGGTAGTAGGTATCACTTGTACTGCAGAATACTAGCGAAGATGGGTGGTCCTTGCAGTGGTGTGGTCTCCCTAGAGGCTTTCTGGTTTTCTAAAAGGCAAAGATGTAAAGGTCATTTGGTTGGTCAGCCAACTGCTCCCATCAGGTAATTCTGGATCTTAAAGGAGTCCTCTGTGATAGGGATGCACATTCTTTCCACCCTTCTCACAGCTCTCTGCCCTCTTGGTGCAATCTCCTCTTGGGACTGCATGGGCCTGGCAAATGAAGGCCAAGTTCTCAGGAGTCTAGGGGTGAACTATGCTACACCCTGGAGACCAAGCACTTCTCTCCAAACAGTTCTCACCTGCACTGTCCTGTAGAGACCAGATTTAACTGTAGGTGTGAGAAAGGCAGAAGGAGTTGTACAGATAAAAGCACTGTATAGGATGTTCCTTTGAGTACAGCTACGTAAGAGCCTTGTGGAGAGGTCAGGTGAGCTGCCATGAGGTGAGCTGCCAGTCACCAGTACTGCCATGCAGCACTTTTGATGGGGCATGTCAGCAAAGAGCCTGCTGCCTCCACAGCTATCTGCCCACTAGTACAGGAAGACAACACCTACAGGACTGGGTCACCTATGATATAGACTAGGCTATAGTAGGTGCAACTCTAGGTCTGTAGCATGTTTAAAACCAGTGGCCCTGTTCTCAGTTCCACTGTGTTCACACGGCTTTGCAAACAGCTCCCTCTGTAGCTTTGGCTCAACTCAAAATGGTAGTTTAGGATGGAAGAAAATATGTCCCAGCACCACATATGCTGCAAGAATGAACAAAACTAGACTATGTGGGAGGCTTTGTGGAAAAAGAACTTGGAAAGGTTTTAGGAACAATATTAACTTTCTGCCTGGGCAAGTTTTTCTCATGTACATCCTGTGAGATCCCATTTCAGGAAGTCTCAGACTCTCAGATCAGTCTCTGAGAGTGTGGTGACAGAACAAGTCTGGCTTTCAGAGTACATAGTTGTGACCACTGAAGACAGCAAGGCGTTTCTGTGGGGCAGTCCTGGATTTGGAGCCTCTAGTTTCTAGACAGGAAAAACCAAGGCAGTAGCAGAAGGCAGTAGAAGGCTGGAAGTAATGGGGCTTCTGGAGCATTGGGTATCTCAAAACTCTAGAAATCCCCTGAGATCCAAACAAGGAACAGCAGTAGGCAGACAGCATTTTTCATGGTCAAATCCCACTGCTGGCAAAAGCCAAGTTTTTGCTTTTCCTGGAGCCCAGACATATGTGACAGCCAAACTCACTCTGCTGTTAGTGGGAGCAGCTGGGGCTCAGGGCCTCTGGTAGCTGTACTACTTTGCTACCTCAAATCCATGGGCTGGTAGTACATCATCACTGCCAGCCCCTTTCTGAGACATGTCTGCGAGATGTAGGTGTAAGATGTCAGCATTATTAAGTCTTCGAGGGCCCTGAAACAGCTTTTCTGTTATATTTTGGGTCTAGCACAGACTGAGGTCTTTGGATTCAGTCATGCAGCGATCAGGAGCCCGGGAGTAGTTTCGGTCATTTCGAGCTGTATCTCGAAGGCCATGAAGCAAAGCACTGGCTGTGAGCAGCATCACCGCTCTTACGGCTACCACTACGCCAGCAAGCTGCCTCCAGCCCCACAGCCGACTGCCTCCACGCCTGCGCAGTGCCTCTTCCTCGGCGTGCCACTCGATAGCCCGTGGCCGCTCGGGGGCGGTAGTGCCGCAGTGGAGGCCGGGGCGGAGGGGGGGCGGAGGCGCGTGGATGCCGTCGGTCGTACTGTGCGTACGCATGCGCTCAGCTGTGCCTGTAGGACGGAGAACGGACACTGCGCATGCGTTTGTTTGTATCTTGATTAGTAGTCCAGAGTCGTGCGCATGCGCGTGGTTCTGCGCGCAGTGCGGGCTGAGGGCGGGGGGAGGGTTGTCTCTCACTCGCGGTTCCCGTCTGCCACCGAGCTGCGTAGGCACTGGGCTAAGAAAGAAACGTTCCCAGACACAGAAAGAGTCCGTCCGTAGTTGTGTTAGCGGCTCCTCCAGCCTCCAGAGGTCCTGCTGGCAGCTCTGGTACCACAGCGCCCAGTTGTGGTTCAGGGTGGAGGAGCTGGGGCAGCCATAGCGCAGAGGCAGACAGGAGTGGGCACAGACGGCTCTCGGCCGGCAGTGGTCTGGTGTTCTTTTCCTTTGTGGGGGAAGGACAGAGCCAGGGCTTAGAGCTAGGATGCTCAGCCCCTGGGGATGAGAGGTGCTGCACGCCTGCTGGGCACCACCGAGGCTTACTCCTCTTCCAATAGCCACAGACTCTTATTTTCAGGAGCAGGGCAGGCGTGCCTGGAGTGCAGAGTGTAGATGTTCTCTAAACATCGAAGGGTCATAATGCTGCACGGCTGTTTTGTGGTGGTGT